GGGGGGGGGGGGGGGGGGGGGGGGGGGGGGGGGGGGGGACGCCCCGCAGCAATACCAATATCTCTTGTGTGCCGGGGAGTAATACTTAAAAAAGACTCATGACTCACGGAAATCGCGCCACCCTTTGCGGGCAGAGGGTATTATTTCATCGCCAAAAGAAAAAGTGTTGTCAAAGCGCTAACACGTGCGGTGTATGTAGTGCTACTACCGTATCGTAACCTACTAGATTTCCAAGCGATCGGGATTTCCTCTCGAAACAAAACAGGAAACAAGAAAAAAACGCGAAACGAAAAAATATTGGAGGAAACGAAAAAACATACCACTGTTTAAATTGTAGCCAGGGTCGACAGCCAGAGAACTCCACAAGCCAAGACGTTGGGTCTCCAGGCGGCATACGTCAACATGATACTGGAGCCGTTCTGTACCAAACCTGTTCCTCGACCAATGGAACTCAAAGAGGGTGCCATCCCCACCCACACAGACGACAGCGCTTTCCCTCGCCTGCGAACCCGCGACGCCGCCTCCAAGCACGCCTCCCGCCGCCGCCGCCGCTGATCCCATACCCCCGTCGTCGCCGCCACCCGCCGCGGAAGCCCCTGTGGCGGCGGCGATATCTCTGAGGATAGCCAACGCCTCTTGCGAAGAAACCTTGAGCTCTTCGCCGGGATAGCGAGGCAACACCCGCATCATCACCGGGATGAGCACGAAGGCGGGTGCGTGCAGGGTTAAGAGTGCAAGTGCGGAAAATTAGGGGCGTGGTTCGTGGAAGCACTGCTGTGTAAGGTTGCACGTGCGGGCAAACTGTAGCATGGGGTGAAGCCGGGAGCGGGGGGCAGTCGCAACACATTGCAAGAGCATAAGCATAAGCAGCAAGCCGACTGTAAGCGGTTTCCGTGGAATCGAATGGCACCGGCGCGCATGCGGGGATGATTTGTCCTCCCGCATCACAAAAGCAACGAATCTACGGAAACAAGACATGCATACCCAAGGACGGTCACACTTGGTACATTAGTGGGGGTAGGAGCCATCCTTACAAGGGGGGCCCGACAAACCGGAACGTTGGACAAAACAAGAAGATGCAGCTATGCACTTGTGTAATGACAAGATAAAACAGGGACATTGGCGAATCGGTTCGCCCCGAAAACCAGAGAACAGCAACTCAGCCAGAAATCAGAGGGAAGACACAGGTTCTTCCCAGAGGCATCACCCACGGGTGGACGATTTCTGGGGTGCTGTGTGAAATACCCACAGAGACATTGTCGAGAAAAAGTACGGCGAAACACGGTAACCACAAGCCCAAAGAAAACGCTAGAGCTGCACAGAACAAACGCCCCGATTTCGGAAACGTCGCAGCAATAACATTGCAGCAGAGTCGTCGTCGCCGCCAAAAAAGTACGCGGTGCACATCCAGCCGCGCTTGCAGCACGTGTACTTTGCCCTACCTCGTGAAAGGTCCAAGGGCTGAACGCCTTCCACGTCTCTTAGGGTGCGAAACCCGGCCCTCAGGAGGCGATCACGGTTGGACGGGGCAATGGGCAAGCTGGAGAGCTCCGTGCGAGCCATCGCGGGCCCCATCGGCGGCACGTTCATCGCTCAAACCGTGTTGTACGACTACGGTGCCAGGCAGAGCGGTGCCGGCCAGGATAGACCTGTGGGAAAGTACCCCAAAGTAGAACCACAGGTAGTCGGCGAGGAACGGGAAACCCGCGTGATCTCACTCAAAGAGTCATCATCATGTCATGATGGCAATACACCAATGAGGAGGGCGGAGACCTCGCGACGGCAGTGGCCAAGGCCAGTTCTTCTGGCTTAAAAGCGGGCCGGTATCAAGGGTCTTTGGCGGAACACAACGCATGCAGAGGTTAAGAGCCCCCCGCGGCTTAGGCCCTATCTGCTTGTTCGATACCTTCTGCTTCGCTTCCAGAATCATTAGTTCAAGAACTTGGAGACATCGAGTGGAATCTATTCCTAGATACAAAACTCGAGATAGCATGAACACCCACACACCTACACATGGGGCTAGAGAGCGGAAAGCTTTCATGTTGTGTGTGGTATTGAGGTTTATCGCTGCTGCTGCTGTGCCAACCTTTGCCAACGTCGGACATGCATGCGCTCATGTCAAGTTTGCTGCAACCTAACAAGGAGTGAGTGCCGACATGACGAATACCGTACACTGCGGGAAGCGTACATCAATGTGATGGTGGCGTGGTTGATGAAATTCAACCTCGAAATGACACGATTGCCAAGTCAAGGGCAAACTTTTACAAAAAATTACAATCCAACAACGACGAAGAATGATCGAGCGAAATTCTCAACTCGATTCATGGAATGCGGATCTAACAAGGGCTCCGAACTTTGAGCAGGCGCTCTCGTCATCATGATTTACGCTGAAGATATTCATGTTCACTCTGAAGTCGCCGGTACTGATGAAGACAGGTTGCTGTGTGGAGGATTTGCGATTCGCACATGAATACCAAGGGCACCCAGTCCGAAAAGAGTCTTTGGTTGTAGAACGAGCGCTGAGGACGCCGAGATTAACGGGCACAAAAATGCGGCCGAATACATGGTTTCGGCCCCCGTCTCCTAGGATCTGGAACGCCATACTCCTCTAGAACCCACACCCGCATGTACAATTCAGTGTACCGATTCTGCAAGGTTTGGTTGTTGCCTTTCTCCCGCCCCCCTCCTCCATTCTACGAAGATTGCAATTGGAAGATTGTTGGAGCCTGAACCCCCACGCCCGCCGTCGAAAACATGGCAGCTATATTTTGGAGAGGGCGTGCATGTTACGGGCTGCTTCAGAGATGGTGTGTGCATGTGTGGAAAGGTGGGGGCTGAGCTATGAGCGGGTGGGTGCTACTCAATGACACAAAGAAATCCAACAGAAACACAAAAGATTGAGACAAGACAGAATTCGAACGCTTCGTACATACTAGCGAACATCTTGTAGTTTAGTTTCAAACTACAGAGGAGATAGTGCGACAGAAAGGTTGCCGCATGATGGGATTCGAACGTCTTGTAGAAAGGTTCGAAGAAACGTATAGAAGTATATCTCCATCACACATTTCACTTGGTGGAATTCGAGAATAAATCTTCGAGTTTCGAACACGTTTCGCAGTCATCATGTACAAGACTTCATGCTCCCAACAAGGGAGACTAAAAGCAGCAGCAGCTTGTAGCCGCCCAGATGGCTGGGAAATCAATCCCTGACCAAGGCATCCAGTGTACCTACACGTAAGTGTGTTCACTCGTCCTTTCTAGTCTGGCGCCAGTGTACACACCTTTCAGTGTATGTGTTGGATATGCCAGGCACGGTCACACAGCGCTACGGCAAAACACAAGAATGTGGGTATTTCAAGAAGATAAGAGCCGATCGCCCCGGTGATGAACAGTAAAGAGTGCGTACAACAACAACCTCGTATACCTGCTGGGATGCAACGCATACTCCACTGTAGTTGTAGCAGGTTGTGGGTTCAAATCAAAATCTATCTTTCAACTAGCATGGTGCAACCTGCGGTTGCACAACGGTTTATCCTTGAGTATTCACAACAACAGAGACGCCTTGTGTTATCTTCGTCCTGTGTGACTACGGCTGACGATTTCCATACATGGAAAGAAACATGTATACGTGCGGCAATGTAGGGTAGCGGAAAACAGGGTGATTCCTTGAAATACCACCCCCCCCTGGACCGACTAGTAAAGCTCGATACATAGAGCCTGACTACTTCAAGACGAAAAGAACATGCCACACAGACAATAGCTGTTGACGCGGTGGTGGTGGTATCAACGCCGCAACTCTCACCAGGCACTGCTGTTCCTGTTGCAGCGGAGTAATCGAGTTTCAAAAACCGGCACGGGGGGTGTTTCAACCTACTGCAGACGGGAGGAACATGCATACAGACCACTTTGACGCTTCCGGGGAATGCGTCCGGACACGAAGTTGTACTCACCACCTACCCACCTACACCCTGCCTTGAGTCAGAGAAATGCTACTGCTGCAGAGCTATCCGGAGCATGGCGGGGACTATGTATCTATGTAGCCCGACATGGCATTTGCAGAGCACAAGCGTATTTTTGCGCGAATTCGCTCCGCACCCGCGCTCGATCGACTTCTGACTTGGGACTACCGACGGGCGAGGACATGTCCAAATCAAATGAACTTTTGCTGTGGGCTACAGAGAAATAGGGCGGTTGTTAGGCACTGGTGAAGGGTTGAGACACGTCGAGCATCACCCAGGCCGGATGCCGCCGAGCAGTACGGCGGTAGATACAACCGCTTCTGCTGGCGCATGAACGGCTACCATGAACAAAATCAAGGGCATTCAAATATTGAAAAACCATGAAAGTTGCGATGAACACCGCCACCTCTCTCACCACAAGGACCGTGCAATACCCGAAAGCAATGCTGTGAGTATTCTCCTCTCGGAATAGCTTCCCTGTTGCCGCATACACCGCAAGTAGCCGCTCTACGCGCTGACCTGCCGCCGTAAATGGCTGTGTGTGTAGCGCTATGTGGTAGTTGACATCGTGACATCATGACATCATGGGGGGTATTACATCTTAGTCGCGAGCCCCCCCAGAGCGCTCCGCAAGACGTGCAAGACGAAGCAGCTCACGTTTGCCTCCGTACAACTACTTCCGCAGGTGAGCAGTGTTGGTTACGAGGAGAGAAACAAAGATATGGGGAGAGACAGGACCATACAGATTTTATGGGGCAGGGACGCTGAACTCGAGAGGAAATTGGTCGTCGAGAACTCACGAGTGTCTCTGGGGGCTGCTGGTGCCCTCGCGTGTGTTTTACGGTTCCTTTTTTTGTCTCTCCGCGACAAGGGCAGTGCATGCATCGAAGCGGTGTGCCATGTGAGGCCCGCCGACAGCGGCCTCGGTTCCCCCGCAACCTTGACCGACGTTTTATCTCGACAGAGACCTCCGCTTCCCGGTTTGGCTTCGATGTATGCGTGCTCCGGCTCCTTAGCGCGCATGAGCAGCTGATTGTAGTTGTAACAGGTGAACTTCCCCGTCCTGCCTCTGGTGCTCCTGAGTTTCCAGCAGCAGCGCTCGACGCTATCCATCCAGCAGGCGTCGCCGACCCGGACCACGTTCCTTCAACACCCTGAAACAAGGTACGATGGCTTCGTAGGCTTGCAGCGTGCGGGGGCTGCGATACCCAACTGGTCGGAATGCTGAGCTGCTCAAGCCAGAGCTCACCAATAGACTAAATGGAAGGATTATCAACAGATTTTCGAGTTCCATGACGTGCTACTACATACAGACGGAAAGCAGTGGTGCGCATGATTTGGTTCTCTCAAAGACGATGCTACCAGTCGACTGCTCCTACCTTCTGGCCGCAGATGAAGCGAGCCTGCCTATCCATTGCAATCCACAACCGAAGCTCTAGTTTTGCCTTGCGGCGAGCATAGGCATAAATTCAATGTTTACCTCTTGCTGCTGCTTGCGGCCCTCCTCGTGGACATTTCGAATTCTTTCACTTGCAACAGCAAGCGCCGTTGGGCCAGGTGGCGTCATCGCGTGGTCGTGTACTTCGAATTTCCTCCTCGAAGTGGCTGGTGAATTCCGACAGCGCCCTGCCCGTGCGAGCTTGCGGTCGCCAGGCCCGCTTTGCCCTTTGCCGACGAAACTGTGCATTCATTGTCTCGTCTATGAAATGTCTTCGTGCTTAACGTGTGGTACAATATTCGTAAATAGTCGATGAGTTGGCATAGCAGGGCCACACCGTCGGATGATGTGCCTGCTGGAACACACTTGTTCTCTCAACACCGGGTTCCGAAAGCTTTTGCCTGTGTACAGTACATACCTTCCGCCCTCCACGTACCTCAACTACGCAAGCATATCATACACATTTTTGGTGCGCGCGGAAGCCTCCCCCTTCTTCTCAGCCGTTCAGCAGTAGTCTTTGACCTGTAGATTCATCCCTCATTACCTGTAGGTAATGTAGACCGCACTACACTTTGGGAAGCATGTGCATGGCATCCCCACCACAATTCGTGGCTCCCTGAAGCTATTCATCGCAGCATATGCACATGTAGAGGACAACACACTACGGAAAAGAAAAGCGAATCACGGGGTATAGGCCTAGCCTACGTCCTGCTTTTCGGCGAACAACGACCATGTGCCTGCCGTGCTGTGAGACGCACCTGGTCTGACCACAACCTACACTTCGACAGCTTTTCGTCGACAGAGCTCATGCCGCGGCGCTCTCGACCGGCCAGTCATGGCAGACGTCGCGGCGCACCTCCGCCCCATGGTGTCGTCAAGAACTGCTCCCTGCGCTTGCTGCCATCATTCCAAGCCCCCGGCGCTTCTCGCCGCGCTGTGGGCGGGTTTTTGAGTATGTATCCCTAAGTACAACCCGGCGGCCGACGTCGCTGGTTGGTCTTTTCACTGAACGTGGAACGGGCGGTGGGCTCAGTTGTCGACCAACTTTATAAGTTGTATTTTGTTGCATTTCGCACGGCTTTGTTCTCGACGGCGGTTTCGTGCGGTCCACCACGTTGACTAGTGTCCTAACCCTTTTCCGTGTGCTTTGCCGCGTGGCGTCGTCGACCGACATGTCTCGTTCCGCCGCCGCCCCGTCCCGTCCCGCAAACTTCGCCGCCGCCGCCGCCACCGCCCCCTGCGCCCGCGCCCGCGCCCACTCTCGTCCCGGCCGCTCGTGTGCACCCCATTTGAAACGATAAGGTGAGCGAACCCACCGCCGACAAGCCGACAAGAGTGGTTGGGTCAAGCAAAAGAGGCGGGGGTCAACTCGTAAGAGGTGGCTGTACTCTGCAGGTGTGAGAGAGCAAGCAGCCAACGCACACAGCGGCTCAGAGACCCATTTCACGAACAAGCGAGCTCTAGGGAGGAGAGAGAGAGAGAGAAAGAGAGAGAAAGCCCGAGCGACCGACCGAGTGACCGACCGAGCAAGGCCAAGATGGGCCGCAACAGCAAGGGGTCGAAAAAGAACAAATCCAAAAGGAAGAGTGTTGGCGGAAATACGGCGGCATCGAAACCCGCCGCCGCCGCCGCCGCCGCCGCCGCCGCCTCGGTACTGCCCGCCGTACTAGCAGAAGCACCGGCCGCAGCAGCACCGGCAGCATCACCAGCACCAGCACCAGTAGCCGCTGCAGCACCAGAGGCGGCAGATGGAAAACCGCCAGTGCCTTCCCCCCCCCCACAAACCCCCCCCCCCGCCGCCGTCCCCGCCGCCGCAACCGCTACACCACCCCCCGCTACCTCGACGCCTCCGCCTCCTGTTATTGAAGAACAAACCGAAGAGATGATGGACATGTCCAAGTTAACGGAGGGCGTCGCCGCCGCTGCGAGCAGTGTCAACAAGGCGGTGACCGAGGCTGCCGAGGCGGCCACCACTTCCGCTGCCGACATGGCGTCGCGCACCGCTGCCACCGGTGAGCATTTTTGTTGAGACGGCGCCAGAATCCCGGTCGGCGTCCTGCATTTGCATGCAAGCATGGGATAATATTTTTTTTGCAAGAGCCAATTATGAATTTGAGACTGCGGCCGAACCCCGTCGGCGTCCTTACGACTATGGCTGTAGTTGCGAAGAACTGATGACTATTTTCGCTACGGCCACGCGTGAAATGTTCATTTTTGGGACCTATGATACCCTCCCCCCGTCTTGAACGTGATGTGTGGGGGGGTTCCGGTAGTTCACTGATCGCAGTCAGTCAATCGCTGTTCCGATCATGGATGGACGGGGCCTTGTTGGGGTGTGCAAAGCATGTCATACCCATGACAATCCTTCACTGCTGATGTTTTGCTGCCAAAAAATATGGCCAAGCTCACACATGCAAGTCATCGTTGTAGCCATTGTACTCCCGCTGGTTGCACCTTTCCCTTATGCGAGCAAACCACACGCCAATGTCGTATGGACTTTTTGCTCGAGAGCGCATCGTTTTGTCTACATGGATTGCTCCTCACGCGTAGCTCGTTTCTTGTGGCGACCCTCCCTCCAACTAACAAGCCGTGTCTTCCGCGTCATGGGTGTGTTCTACGGGACAGGGCAGGAAAGCTCATGGCCAATAATGTTCACATGGCTCGTAGCGTTACCGCATCTAACCACAATTCAATATCTCGTGTTCATGGTTTGTACCACAACAGCAAAGAGAGCGGTCGCTTCGGCGACGGAAGCGGCAACCGCCGCCGCCGACACCGCAACAAGCGAAACTACCGCCGCCGTTGAGAACGCGAAGAGCGAAGCCGCCGCCGCCGCTGATACCGCAAAGAGCGAAGCCACAGCCGCCGCCGACACCGTGACGAGCGAAGCTACCGCCGCCGCTGAGACCGCAAAGAGCGAAGCTACCGCCGCCGTTGAGACCGCGAAGAGCGAAGCTGCTGCCGCCGCTGACACCGCGACGAGCGCAGCCACAGCCACCGCTGACACTGCGAAGAACGAAGCCACCGCCGCCGCTGGTACCTCGACGAGCCAAGCCAATGCCGCCGTTGAGACCGCGACGAGCGAAGCCACCGCCGCCGCTGACGACGCGGCGAGCGAAGCTACCACCGCCGTTGAGACCGCGAAGAGCGAAGCTACCGCTGCCGCTGAGACCGCAAAGAGCGAAGCTACCGCCGCCGCCGACACCGTGAAGAGCGAAGCTACCGCCGCCGTTGAGACCGCGAAGAGCGAAGCCACCGCCGCCGCTGAGACCGCAAAGAGCGAAGCTACTGCCGCCGCTGATACCGCGACGAGCGAAGCCACAGCCACCGCTGACACCGCGACGAGCGAAGCCACAGCCGCCGCTGACACCGCGACGAGCGAAGCTACCGCCGCCGCTGACACCGCGACGAGCGAAGCTACCGCCGCCGCTGACACCGCGACGAGCGAAGCTACCGCCGCTGCTGACACCGCGACGAGCGAAGTCACAGCCACCGCTGACGCCGCAAAGAACGAAGCTGCCGCCGCCGTTGAGACCGCGAAGAACGAAGCCACCGCCGCCGCTGGCACCGCGACGAGCGAAGCTACCACCGCCGTTGAGACCGCGACGAGCGAAGCCACCGCCGCCGCTGACGCCGCGGCGAGCGAAGCCACCGCCGCCCTTGATACCGCGGCGAGCGAAGCTACCGCCGCCGCATCCACGGCGGAGAGCGAAGCCACGGCAGCCGCGACGGAGGCCACCGCCGCCGCTTCGACCGCCGCCGCGGGCATCGTGTCGCAGGCCCAGGGGCTCGTGGACGCAACGGAGGCCACTCTCGGGTCCGGCATGGCGACCGCGGAGGGAGCGTTGGGGAACATGAAGACCTCGCTCGGCGCCGTCACGTCGCAGGTCGACACGGCCCTCAGCTCCGTTAGCTCCAAATTTGCTGCTCCCGCTCCCGCTGCCAAGGGCGCCGCCGACGCCTCGGCGTCGGAGACGGCGGCCCCTGCTGAGGAAGGAGGGATGGGAGGCTTTTTGTCCGGCATCATGTCAACCGTCCAGGTGGGCTTTTTTTGTGGTACACCGCTGTCTTATCTTAAGAGAGCGGCAAGTTTGGTTATAGGTCTCTTGTCTTTGTCGAGCCGGGCTGGGATAGACCGCTTTGTTTTGTGTGCGTGCTTGGTTAGGAGAAGTGGAGGATAACCCGCGAAATCATGCCGCATGTTTTCCGTATCCCGTCAACCAATTCACGGTGGTGAAACAGAAGATGGAACAACCCCGAAATCACACGCCGCACACTTGTTCCCTATATATACCGTCAATCAGTTCACGGTGGTGAAAGAACTGCGGAAGAACCCCCCGGAATCATGCCGCATGTTTTCCTATCCCGTCAACCGATTCATGGTCCCGTTTTTTTGTGTGGCGGTAGCGGTACTCGGTGGTTATGCCCGTTTCTTCCGTCCACCGTGCCAATTTTCCCTGGTTCCGCCGGCGACCGCCCCCCCCGTCGGTTTCCGTTCCCTTGCACGGACGCGAAATTGCGTGTTTTGTTATCATTATCCCAGGACGCGGTTTCGAAAGGGGAAAGCGCTGCGTCTTCCGCGACCACTCAGGCGGAGGGCGCGCTGGCCGCAACACAGTCGGGCGTCACCGCTGCCGAGGGGGAGATCGACGAGGTCATGGCCAAGCTCCCCAGCGGGGGCAGGGAGGCGGGGGGCGCCGGCGGCGCCGGCGAGGACGGCACGCGCGCCCTGCCCGGGGGCGATGCTACCACTACCGCTGCCGCTGACCCGTACGCCCAGGACCCGGAGGACAAGAAGATGCTCGGGACGTGCAAGGTGCCCAAGGTACCGGACTCTTGCGTGATCTGCTGAGTGCGGTATTTTTTTATTTCGTGGGAGAGCGGCCGGGACGACTCGACAGCCGTTTGTGGTGTTGAGGAACGCTCCTTTGTGGTACGGTAGCATGCCTGACTGGGTGTTGCTCGCCGTAGGTGTCTAGTTTTCCTTGTAAACGTATAGCCTCTGCATCGTAGAGAACTCAGGTCGAAACCGCCCTCGAGGATTTTCCCACCCGGGGGGTGGGTGGGTGGGTGGGTGGGAGGGGGGGTACACATTTGTGTTGGAAAGGGTGAAACTGGGCCCGACGTGTGAGCGTGTGTGTGGGCGGGAAAGTTGGGGAAATTGAGGTGGTCTCGCTTTGGCGTACCACACTGGGCCGGCGGGCAACGCAACACCGACGCGCCTCGACGCAAACCAAGTTTTCTAGGTTGGTGGTTTCTTGGAGACGCTCGTCGGATAATCGGAGAAAGATGAAAAATTAGTTGCTCCGCGATCGATCGCGTCCTGTAGATCTATCTGGCTGCTAAACCGTTCCTCCTTTACGGGACACGTACCATATGTTTCTTGTCGAACATTGCTTATGATTTTGTTTTTTAGGGGAAAAGGCGACGCCGTTGGTGGAAAATATTGTTGCGTTGGCGTTGTTGTCTCTTGCTGGTCGTTGGGTCAAGCGTCACCCTAGTCTTGACGCTACAACATCAAGGAGGCGGTGTGGTGTGCACGAGGTACTGTAGCCCACGGGCATGTTTTTTATTGGCATTGATGGGTTTGCGCAAGGGAGGAATGCGGAGGGGGAGGGGCTACTTTTACGGTCGTGAGGTGTGGGTTGAGTCGCGGTCCTGTGGGTCTTCATTGCCACCTTTAATAGCAGCTGTTTACTCAGCCGATTTATTATGTGTGTGAGCCATTCGCGTCATCTTGATAGCAACGCAGGAAAGAGCGAGACGTAGCTCGGTTTTTATCTGGACAATTTTGCGTGTGTTCATGTTCGTTTGTTCCCGGTCTCGGCTTGTATCGTAGGCGGCAGGCGGGTAAGTTGGCGAACGCTCCCAAGGGTGGAGTGACGACTAAAGGTCGGGCGGGGGTGGTTGCATTCATGAAGATTGCAGCCAGCCCTCGAATAACAGCGGCGACAGACCGAGTGTTGCTGCGAAAAGTTTCTTGTGGAAGTGGACGAACAAAAATGCAGGGAGGCTGATGCGTATTGATGCTTACTAGTGCTTTTTATGGTGTGTTGAATTCGATGTTGTAAGTCCTTGTGTTGTGAGCATGTCCCCCCCCCCCCCCCCCACCAAGCCTGTTGTCGTTTTGGGCCCCCTGTCCTTCCTTTGACTGTTGCTCTCTGAAGGTTGATTAGGGAGGCAAAGGCTGGGTTTCGTGTTTTGTGTGGTGCCCCTGCTGTCCAAAACTACACACGGTCTTCATAGGGTATCCCCAGTACTAAAACTCGAGGGGAATACCGTAAGGTTCTCTTGGTCGACGGCCTGTCGCCATCTCCTCTTGTTCTTTTTCCCTCGCGTCGCCTTGCGCTGTGGCCTCATGTCGCGATTGCCGTCGCCGTGTTGTTGGTGTGATTCGGCGTTGTTGTGCTGCTTCCCAGTTTTATTTTAAAAAATAGTAGCATGTGGGCGTAGCGCCCGTTCTCATTACCTTGCTTGTCGATGGATTTTAGGTTGCGTTTCGTTGGACGGTGCTATTTCGATACTGGTTGCGTCGAAAGCATTCATGTCGCTTGGGAATACGGGGTTGTAAACTTCCGAGACAAAGAAAAGGCGGTGACACGAGCCAAAGCCCGTTCACGAGGGCACCGTGAAACTTTCTTCCTTGGGCTTCTGAAAAAAAAAAAAGCGCAAGTGACGGAACGCCCGTGAGGCGCTGTCCAGGTAGGAGAGGTTGCTATGGAAGACGGAAGTTAAGGTGGGGACTTGGTCCCATGTATCACTTTGCGCCATGATTGAGGAAAAGAGCCGGCGGTCCGTCCACAGTATTTCACCGTAACTGTCCTGTTTTCGCCTGAAACCGCTGGTCCGCGCCTTCTGTTTCCCTTATCGCGCCACGTGTCGCGGCTTCAAAGCCAATGCCATAAAGCGAAGTAGAACGAATACCAGAGGGAATGACTCGTCTGAAGGCTCGATGGTCAAACCGCGCGGCTTGCCCCTCGCTCACTGTTCAACCTCTCACCGCTTCCGGCGTCATATGTAACGTGCAACTTGTTTGTGACGAAAAAAATAATCGAACCGTCAGCATGCAGCCCAACAAAAAAAAAAACACGAAATGACGGCGATCAGTCAGCACGGTGGTACCCCGAAATCTAGGAAGCCGTTGCCGCTGCTGCTCTCGACCACAAAGCCAGCCTCTCCCGCTCCTGCTGCGAAAGCCCCCACCTTTCCGCCGCCGCTGTCGCCCTTCGCAGCAGCTCTAGGACCGAGGCCACCACCGACGCCTCCACATTATTACCAAACCCCTCAAAGGTTGACCTCCCTCCTTCACACCTGCCTGCCTTTAGTGGTGCAACTCCTTCTGATGGGGAAGCCTACTCCGACGCATCTGCCTCATGTACCACCGGGGAGCCACCACGCCCATCGTCGTCCCGCCACTCCCGGAACAGAGGGCCGGTGGTAAGCACTAGCTCTACCGCCTGCAAGAAAGACAGCGTAGTCGGAGGGGAAGCGACACTCTCGTCTTGTTGTTCTTCTTCCTTCTCGGTGCATAACCAGGAGGAGGGTCGCGGCTGGAAAGGGTTTCGCTCGATGAAGGGCCGCACGTCCTCGCCGCTTTCGTCCAGCAGACGACTGGTGGGGTGGGGGGAGGGCGACGCGCGCGCACACACATGGGTATGTTGGTGGGAGAGGTCAGGCACCCGGGCGGGGCAAGAGATGGAACGCGTTGTCGGTTGATTGGAGCTCGACACATCAACACAGATGCCGCTTGTCAACCGCTAGACATCTTTTCACTAGCACTCCGTAGGACGTTGCATCGTGAAAGCAAGACAAATGCTGTGTAAAAAAGCAATGCCCACCATCACAATCAACCAGAACATAAATAACTCTACTGTTGCCTTATGGAACTACACCATGTTCATGGAAAGCGTACTATCGACGACTTATTTTGTTACATTTGCACCCGCCATACATTTGTACCGGAGCAACTTTAGCGATTTTTCCAAACAACACCCCAAACCGCCTCAAAAAAACGATAGCATCAACTCAAAACTCGCCTCAAGTAATCGAGCAAACGGGGCAAAACCTCCCGCTGTGCACGCGCAGCAGCCTCCCTCCTCTCCGCCTCCTCCTCCGACTCGACGCCGCCCGTCTCACCGCCCAGTGCCTCGAGAGCGCACGCCTCCGTGAACTCCGGAACGACCACCAAGCCCGCGTCCATGAACCGCATCTTTCTCGGGGTATCGTCCACCATGATGGTGTTGCCTGGACCGAAGCCCGCCCCCGTGCGGCCGGGCGTGGACCAAATGAGCGGCAGGTCGCGGGTTGTGTCCCAGGCGTTGGCGCCGTGGGGGTCCCGTGCGTTAAACGGTCGGTCGTATACCTCGGGTGCTGCACTGCTGCTTTGTGGGGGGGGGGGGAGGGGTACACATGTAAACGCGTGCTGTGGTCATCAGACATGGTTTGTGTGTGTTACAGCGACGGAATGGGGACAGGACGGACTCGAACCCGTCATGAAGCGGGGAGAGGACGAATTTTCGAGAGGAGATGGTAATATCGGGGTGACACATGATGGGTTATGACATTGAAAGGAAAGGTGCGCGATGAAATGGACCGAGATCAAGACACAGGTCGATCAACATCTCCCTTAAGGGAAAACGTCGAGAGCGAAAGGCAAAAGGGTGGCCCGGTTGCCGTGTCCGGGTGCGGCAGCGGCAGCGGCACAGTTTCTATCTAGGATCAACATCTTGATGTGGAAATGTCACGAACGCATCGTTCGGTCAACCCTGTCGTGGCGGAGCGAGGTACAAGGGTACTAACCAATGTTCATGGGAGTAGAACGTTGTCCACAAAACTCGTGTTTTCTTCCCGATGTTTACGTACGGGGCAAGGCTTGCCACCTGCTTCCCACGAGCCCGAACTAGTGTTCTCCGATCTCAGCCTCCAAAGGCTTGACAATACCGCCCCCCGACAGTTTCACCTGCAGAATAAACGCCCCACCCCCCCCTTGGGTTGGCGGAATTCAGTTGAACCTTCCGCAAGGTCTGGCAATATGAACAAAGTCCGCACCCAAAGCTACGCCAACCTGTACGCACAAACCAGGTGACGTTTTCGTGCACGCCTTGACACCAAAAACGCGCCTACCTTCCGTCTCAACGAGAGCCCGTCTCACCCCAGTTTTTTTTTTTCTATCCTCACCTGTCGTCGGGCATGAGAAAGCGTGCCGCCGGGAGGGCGTTCACGCCTCGCATAGACGTGTAGAACGCCAGTCGCGCCCGGGGGTGTGCCTCCAACGCCGCCACGAGCTCCGCGGCTCCGGGCCTCATGTAGTAGTGGAGGGGGACGTTCTCCCCGTGGACAAACGCCGGGGCCCCCCACGTCGAGTTTCCTCCGCCGCCGCCGCCGCCGCCATCATTCGAAACCCTCAGAGGCTTTTTCGCTCGGCGCAGCAAGGTGCCGTTCATGTCCAAGAGGATGAGAACCTGCTTGTGTTTCGAGGGAACATCCATGTCATGTCCGTCTCTCGGCGGTACAGCACCGTTGCTGTCGCTAGAATGATTCGTGACACCGCCGCATCCGATGGCAGGACAGTCGGCTGCAAGTGGCTCCACCGTATTTGCAATCGAGCCCGGCCCCCGTTGTCGTTGCGGATGGGCCAGGAGATTGTTAGGAGGGCGGATGAGGTCGGCGGCGGGAGGGCCCTCAGCGTTGCTAGCATCATCGCAGAGACCAGCGATACGGTTTAGGTACTCTCTCCAATGGCTGGTGGTGGGATTGCAGGAGGCGTTTACGCCAGTGCCGCCGGCGGCGGTGGCGGTGTCACCGGTATCCGGAGGGGGGCGTGGATGTACCAATCGCGGTGCACCTTGCGATGGAGCAGCCGCCGAAGGTTCGGCAGCAGTCTACTGCGCAACACACGCAACGGAGCAACAGCGGTTGGCCGTTGTCGACAGAAGACAAAAAAAAAGCGTTCAAAATGAGTTTGCCGAAGCAGCAGGACTAGAGGTGACATTGACGTGGAAGGTGACGCGTAGTAGGTCTACAACAGGAGCAAGCGCCGGGCGCAGGACAGCTATTCATCTATGCGGGCTGGTCTGTGTTTTCGGAATTTGTTCGAGGTGGTCACGAAACGTGAGGCTGCCGCAGGAGCGGTTGCCGTAGCTGAACAAAAGGCGCTACCCGCCCCCCCGTGCGACCTGAAACAATACAACAGGCTCGGCATCACGGAATGGCGATAACCTTTGCGTGCACGAGGACATACAAACATTTGGCGAGCGCTGGCTAGGCAAAGCGAACTTGGGGCACAGGGTTGTTCAGAACCGAACAGAGCAAGCGCCGTGTACGCCCCTCGAACACGGGCACGCCTCTCTCCACTTCAGACCCGCAACACGGTGGCCAAGGTTGTTGTACGAAGGAGGCTTTGTCCGACGTCATGCATTCCGAATATTCCAAATGAACCACCACTACCCGTGGAGTGCTGTAAACAGTGACCAGAAAAACAAGGGGTCTCATGAAGTAGTGGTTTTTTTTTCTTGAAAATGAAAGCTGTTGGTACCTCCTTTTGTCGTGAAGACACTCAGTCGGCTGCTGCATTCGCGCTCAAGTCGTGACACGTCAGCCCAAGGCTTGCGGTGTCATCTCAGCGACGGAAGTAACACTACGGGCTTACCTGCTTCCGTACCGCTGTTGCTTCCATCTGCTCCTCTTGCGCTCGTAGGCCTTAAGCTAATGATGCACCGTCGCCCTCTGGCTGTCCTCCCCGCACCCTTCTGACGAGATGCGGAAACGAACAAAGAAGAAGTGTGGTAGCAGACGTGCCTTCACACAGGAAAAGACAGGAGAAAAAAACAGGAAAAGACAGGAGAGTGCCTAGCCCGGCGCTTGCATCCCTGCTTCGTGTGCAGGATGCGCAAACCAAACTCACAAGCACAAATAAAACCGAGAACGTTGTGCCCGCCATCCCGCCGGAGGACCCTGTCACGCATAAGAATGCCTTTGCACGCTTTCCCTGCTCCCCGAGGGCGAGTTCCAACACTAGTCGGATACATACATAGTGCCATTGCTTGTATGCATACTTACCTTGGATTTCACCGCTTTCGCCGAGTCTTCGTGATCTTTGTGTGGTAGTATTTTCTGTTGTTGGCCTTTAAGCTGTGTCCACCAAAGCGTCAGGATACTGCCGCACTGTAGCCGCAAAAAATCCCCCAAATCAACAACTACCAATAACCAAAAATGTTGTGGGATGGTCGGGTGTGTCAGATTGTGGGCGCGTCTTAGCCCCCCGTTTCAAAACAGGGAACACGCAACAGGGAATAGGGAATAGGGAACAGAGAACAGAGAACAGGGAACAGAGATCAGGGAACTCGGGATCATTGTCTGGTTGGGCAACAGCGCAACATAACGTTCCTGGGAAAAAAAATATTTTACAGGTTCCTCCTTTTTGGTAGTAATTGCGCCGCGCTATGAAAAATGAATGAGCTTGTTCACAAAAATAGGCCATAACGTGGACCAAGGAACTCGGGATCATTGTCTGATTGGGCAACCGTGCAACATAACGTTCCCGGAATAAGAAATACTTCACAGGTTCCTCTTTTTGGGTAGTAATTGCGCCGCACTATGACAAATTGAAAGACCTGTTGATAAAAATAGACCGTGTGGAACGTGGGACGCGCACTCTTGGGTGGTTACTAAGGACGTGGTGGGATGTGTGTGATCACCCTCGGGCATAGGGCTGCCACAGATGCTGTATGTGCTACCGGTAAACGATTTAGGCATTGCCACCATCATGAGTTGTCTCGCACGCCAAAAAACGGTTTGCGGATGCTCGTGTAGCCGTTGTTTTGGGTCAAAGAAAACGGCAAGCTGCTGTTGACCGCAACTCACGCAGCAAGCCCTCCAGATGTGGCTATTGAGTGTGGCCAGCATCGTGCTTCTCGACACAGAGCACTCTCGAGGGTGCGGATCGCACGACGAGCACCACCTTCTCTAACTGATAGCACACATGTGAACTTAAGTGCGCTCGCATCAAAAGGTTCCTTCAAACACACACCACTCCATACTTTTTTTGAGAAACTCTACAGTGTATACAAAGACAGAAATATACCTCAAGATATAACCATTCGAGATATAACCACAACGTTTGTCGAAAGGGATGTGTGAAGCCTTTTCAGTGAGTGGCGGGAAACCGGCTGTCCCCCACTACATAGTCTTTCTGCCCTCGAGTAGAATACCGAAACGTTCCGTGTTCCATGCCTAATGCTGTTGCATGTGGTACGGAAGACTACACAACGGCATGGAACAGGGAACAGTTCCTGTTGTGGTCTAGAGACACGTCCTGTGTTAAATTGGAACACTGGGGTTGTGGAACGTTACTGAACAATGGTACTGAATCGTGAAGAGTAAAGTGGCAACTGCGCAAAGAAATTTCGGAGGGGTTGCGGCGGAATATATGGAAGAAGCAAAAGCGAGCGAGAGGATTCACGTGAGTGAGTCCTTCCATCAGGCGGCGAGTGCGCGATCGATCCGCTGTCGGGTCCACCGAGTATTAGGCAAGGTCTGAGGGAGGAACGGGTTCGAGCGAGTCATGAGCAGAACAAACTCACACCATGAGCACCCGAGAGGGCCTAGCAGAGCAGATGAAGCCACAAAAAAACAGAAGCGCGGAGAGGCTGCTCCAGACCAACAGATATCTGGTTTTGCTGTAGGAATGTGGACAACAACACCGTCAGTCGCATGTAATCGCGACCACCATAGAGGTGGAGGATGTGACGATTTGCCTCGAGACGAGAATCCCGGTGAAATCGGTTATCCTCGGTAGGCACAAGGGCTCCACCTGGGGGGTAGATACCTGACTTGATGCAGCCAACAGTGTTGGAAAATCTACCCGCAATTTGGTAACGGATCGTGCCACCGCTGCTCTAGGTAAGTGTGCTCTCTGCCGGTAGCTGTGGGAAGCATCTAGCACTATTCGGTTGTACTCCGTATACGCTCACTGCTGTCCTTTCACCTACATGGCCTCGATCGCCGCACACTCATACCGTTTACTTACCTCACCAGAACTTCTCCGTGTCGGTACGGGGTCGAATACTGCTGGCTGGCTGATGTCCAAATGCAGAACTGGTGTGTGTGATACGGCGCGTGAGTGCGTGACGGCGAGTGGCCCCGTGGATTGGGATACGTGTGTACGTCCGTGAATCGACCACGTAGAAGGTTGGATCAGTACAGACATACGAAGGTACCGGGTAGAGAGAGATCGGAACGGCTTTTAATGTGAAGAACACAGCAACAACAACAACAACAACAACAACAACAACAACATACAAATAGGGTGTTTACGGACTGGTGTTGGGATTTCATCTTCGAAGTTGCCAGGAAGTTCGAGATGAGATCAAAATTTGATTTCGAAAACAGCTTGCGAAGATGCAAGTGAAATTTTGTGGTCTTGATCACGCAGAAACTTCCAGGAACGCAATGTTTTACTACGGCGGAGCCCCCTTTTCGGCTCTTTTCGGCAGCAAACTTGGTCCCGCTCGGCACAACCACATCAGACCTTCCGCCTCCACCCCCACCGCAAGGCTACCACCACATTACACTCACAACCGCTGCTAAACAATCATGGAGAACGATGGAGGTCAACGTAATCATGAGAAGGCTGGCCTGGTTCAGTTGCCGGGTGTTCATGGCAACACGAGTCCTCCGGCGAGGGCCGCTCCCCTCGCCAGAGTTTCGGTGAACACACAGCACGAAGGCCAAGGACCTCCTCCTTCTACTACCGCTGCCCCGCGGTTTAGTGATACGCGTCGCAGTCATCAACGGAGTCGATCGTCCGCGACAGACGCATCACCGGAGCGCGGTCCACAGGACGCACGCGCAGCAGCTCCTCACGCTCCCACGCCGCTTGAAGCATCCCTAACCCCGTCACCTCCGCCTCCGCCTGTGCAGCACTCCTAAGATCTATGCCGCTCGCAGCATCGCCGTCATCCTCGTCAC